ATAAAAATAATTTTACTCATTTTTGACTTTATGAAATTTTTCTAGAATTTCATTTTGACTTTTACTATTTTTGATCTTTTTTCCACTTATTTGAGTGATTTTAATTAGTTTAAAAATACTTTCCTGTTTTAAAAACTTACAAAAAAAATTTAAAAAAATTTGAGATCATTTCTGACTTTTCTATGGTCTCTTTAAATTTTTCTTTGATACTTTGAATATAGTTTGCTATTTTATCTTTTATTTATATTTTAAAAATCATTTTCTTTTTTTTATCTTGTTTATTAAATGCAATTTATTTTTTGAATATATTTTGGCCGTGTGATTTTTGATCATGAACTTCATTAATATCATTGGATCTTGGGTGTTGAGTTTAAATCCACCAAAATAGATGAATGATTTTAATGATAGTTTGATTAAAATCTTTAATTCAAATGTATCCCCTCCCTTTTTCATCTCATCCTCTTCTCCTTTGTGCTACATGTTGCTAGAGGGTGATCTATATATCATCATTTCAAACATATGGCACATAGATTACTATTGACCGACCTCAAAATAAGTGCAACTTCTATATAACTCCACTTACGATTGCTTAAAATAGCACTAAGTTTTGTCCCGATTTGAGAAATGATCATTCGTGGTCCAAACCTATGTTTGCAAGCCCAAGCATGTTTAATTTGAAACTTTTAATCCAATAATCTTGAGGTTCATTGTTAGGAGGCTTTGGTCTTATTAATCCTCTAATGAATCTTCATAAATTTTGAAACTAAGTGAATCATTTAAACATCGTTGATCATTTATTGTTGCCTTGAGATTTTGAAATGATTGATATACTTGACAAAAAGCAAATGAAACTTGTTGTTGAGAGGCTTTGATTTTATCAATTTTCTAATGAGTTTTCAAATGTAAGTTTCAAGATTGTCATTCAACTAACCTCTAATTTCTAACAATTGACTTTATTTTATGCTTTTTACTTTATGTTTTTTACTTTAAGCACATTTATTTTAGCATTTTCATTTCATGTTATTTTTATCTTTGCTCACTTGAGCATTTATCTTTATGTCATTTTTTATTTTGCTCACTTGAGCTTTTCATTTCTTTTTGAAGATACCTAATAATCAACTTGTACCATAAAAAACTTTAATGTTACTTGGACTATTTGGTTACTATCCTTGGCATTTTAGAGTTATTGACTTCTTGGACTTAGGATTAGAGACCTTGACCTACCTTGTGACTTCTATTGCAATTTTGTCTGAAGTTCTCGGGGTTTACCCCAAGACATTGGGTTGTTTTTTTTTTGTTTAGGTTATTCTGATTATATGCTTTGTCTGTGATTGGGAATTCATCTGTATACAACCATTATTCTGCCTAATTTTTGTGAAGACTTAATGTCTTTGAAGCTTGGTTTTCTTAAGAGGTTTTATTATCTTTGCTTGTTTGGTTTCAATCCAAAGGATGAGAATTCTATATTGACTCATTGTGACAAGTGTTGGCTTCTTGTTGGTTAGACGGTTCTTTCCCTAACTTTTACCTTATGCTTTAGGATAGTCCCTTCATCTCCTCCCACCTTCTTTTATTTCAAAAATCTTCTCCCTCCTTTCAAAACTATTCTTGTTTTTAAACTCGAACCACTTTCACAATAAACTTGGACTTAGGTGTTGCAACTGGTTTTTTTTAATCAGATTCGCCATCCTTAATTTTTATCCTAAAAGAAGGGAGTATAAAGGAATAACCCTAAAGTTCAGAGATTTTAGATTTGGACTCGGTTCTAGACGAGGGGAAGGGTTAGACACCCCTTATCTACGTTGTTCAGAAGGATACTATGTTTAGAAGCGCGATGTTTAGGAAATAGGGTTTTTATTATTTATTTGGGAAAAGGGTTTGATTTGTGTTTTTTATGGATTACGTAGAATTGTTTTCGAATTATCCTTAAACCTTGTTTGAGTTTGAAATTGAGTGATTGTAGACGCAGTTCGCAGTTAAGTCGAAGGCAATGCTATTTAATCCTTTTTGAAAATAATCTAAAATTTTTATTATGTTCGTTAAAAAAAATGTTTTGATGTTGGTTAGTTGTTTTGAGACGTAGAGCGGAAGAAGTCTGATAAAGTCTTTCTCATCACGTGGTCAGATTTTGTCCACGTGTTTCTCGTCATGAAGGATGCAGAGGGAGTCTGATAAAGTCTCCTTTATTGCGCGGGTTTTAATATTTTGATGTAAAATATTAATTTAACTTATTTTGTGAAAAATATTTTTAAGTGCATGATTAAAAAATATAATTTAATATAAGTAAACAATATTATATCTTAAACGAGTTTAAAATAATCAATTTGATTTATAATAAATAATAAATATAATATTAAAATAAAAATATAAAATATAAAATAAAAATTATTATGATAAAATAATATTACATTAAACCGTAAGAGGTACAAAATTAACTGACATAGTATAAAGGTGAGGTGTGAATAGCATGGTTAGACCCAAAACCCACTTATAAATTTTACCTAATTTAAAATAATATATATTATATATAAAAAATAAAAATAAAATAGATATAAGTTAATAAAAAAAATAAGAAAGAACAAAACAAATTATATGGCAACGTAAGTGGGACTTTCCACTTATTTCTCTAATTAGTTTGGCAACAAAAATATTGACTTTTCAAAGCTTTTGTACTTAGCCACTTAGGGCTTGACACATGGCAACCTCTTTTTCCTAAAATGAGAAAAACAAAAGCTGTATTATATAACCCAAAACCAAGTGTATCAGGGGAACAGTAGGGATGGCAACGGGTCGGGTCGGGTGCGGGTTTCACACTACCCACATCTGCACCCGAAATCATCACCCGAACCCGAACCCGAACTCGAAGGCTATTCGGGTGACAAAATCACACCCGCGCCCGCACCCGTTGGGTTCGAGTTTTTTCACCCAAACCCGAATCCGAAGGGTATTCGGGTGACAAAATCACACCCGCGCCCGCATCTGTTGGGTTCGGGTTTTTTCACCCAAACCCAAACCCGCACCAAAAATCAAAAAAAAAAATTACAATTAAAATAAGGTCTCTTTACATTGTCTTCAAGAAAATGCAATCACAATTATCTTAACATAGTCTCCAACATAAATGATTTAAATAAGAATATTACCATTTGAATGATTTTTTACATTTGCATCAGCTTAAAATTGTGTTTCGTCATTGAGATTTTATTTTACTCTAATTTTTATTAAGATTCTTTAATACCTACTAATATATGCTCCTTTTAAATCACGTCTCTATATTATGACGTAATATATTGAACACACTATTCTATCACGGAAGTAATCTTAATTAAGCTTAAGGCATAGAGACCTACACCAATCTTACTAATATTGCCATAGCTAAAATATAAAATATTAATGACGTTGTAGTTTTCCAAATCTTCTTAAAATCAACAAGACATCTGAGGTTATTAAATCTAATTAAAAGATAAGAGAAATATAAATTGAAGTGTTTAAAAATGATAAATATGTAGCTTTATTATGATATTAAAATAAAATTATAGGTTTTAAAGTAAGATAAAAATTAATAGGTTTGGTACTAAGAAGTGATGTATCTGAATTGAATGTCATGGTGATACCTCCAAAACTAAGAGGGAACAATGCAATCTATTTAATACTATTTATTGTCTTACTATAATCTTAGAGTATAAAAATCATGAATTTAAGGTTCATGAAATTAGAAAAAGATTTCTCAACTAATTGGTAGTTCAAAGAATAGTCTATCATAAGGTATGTTACACAATTTTGTTCTTCTCACACTAACTTATTCTCTTTGTGTAATGGGTAATCTCACAAGTCTCTTTTAACCCATTTACATCTTTCATTAATGCACTTACAAATATAGTATGCGTTCCACACTTGAAGACAATCGGAATCAATTTCACAACATGGCTCATAATAATCTGTTAAGAAAATAAATGATAATACATATTTACTAAAATACAATAAAATATTGTGTGTGAACTACCATGTAAAAAACCAGCTATTGGGATGTTAACTAATGGCTGGTATAACAGACTGTATACAGTAACAGGACAGGTACTGTTAGATATATTACAATGTCTGTGTGTGTGTTTGGTGTTACAATGTCTGAAGAACTTTAATAACATAAACTCCATTCTATTCTATCTCAACCAATTAGTCATATAACGAATTTAATATGTCAAATATACCATGCAAAGCAACATTAAAAGATCTGTACATTCATGCATAAGATAGATATAAAGAGATTCTTCATAAACCTTACCGAAATGTCACTTGTTGGAGTATCAGGCTGGCAGGCTGCTCCTGAAACACAATCAACAGTTCTGTCGGCCTAAATATTAGAAATGGTGTTAGAAAGTGGCCTAAGAGTTATATACATAGTTTATATATTTCTTGTAAATGGTGCTAGAAGGAGGCGTAAGAGTTATCATAGTTCATGCATTGCTTGTAAATGGTTCTAGAAGGAGGCCTAAGATTTATCATAATTGATGCATTGCTGTGAGTTGAGCTTTGAGTAATTTATTAGCATCGAATAGGTGCTTTGTAAGGACAAAATTGTAAGACTCACATAGCACTCCAAATTGATTAGTCCCTTCTAAGAAATCTCAAATAACAGTAGCAAGTAAAATAGATGAAAAGCAACAAAGTACTAGTAGTACATAAAACATATTCTCATTCTAATAATAATAACTTGAAATACAAGTCTCTGAATTTTCATCATCAATGCAAAGGACATATTAGCTAGCTAATAGCTAACCCCACAGACACTCCCTCTCTCTCTCTCTACCTTTAGAGATAGAAAGAAAAAAAAAACAATTCCTTCTATGAATTTAATTCCTTCTATGAATTTTGATTGTGACCCCTTCCATGGAAAAGTCAAGTTTCTTGTGATAAACTATTCCCCAAAAGACTAGGTATGTAGGATTTCACCTACCTAAAACATTGGGTAGATATATAAATAATGATTGGTTTATAGCAAGAGTATGACAACAAGTTCAATACAAAAGATGTTAATATTACTGGTTTATTATGGTTTCTTGTTTCTGAATTATGTTAATAGAAATGCTGTCGCTATTGAATGCTTAGCTTCTGATCAAGAAGCTCTTCTAGACTTCAAAAATGGGCTTCAGTATTCTCACAACCGCCTCTCTTCATGGAGAAACACCAACTATTGTCAATGGCAAGGAATACGCTGTGACAACGTCACAGGTGCTGTCGTTGCAGTCGAAGGCATTTGCAATATCTGATGCATTTGATAATATCTGAACCTGTCAAAGGCTGGCTTTGCTGGCTTTGCTACCAAACTTGCAGTATTTGAATTTAGGGAACAATGAAAATCTCAAAGCAAGCTGTTCTCAACTCTTGATGAAAGGATGGGAAAGGATACAAGTACTTGATTTATCGATTAATAAATTACACGGGAGACTTCCTTCATCCATTGGAAACTTGACCTATCTTACTTACTTGGATCTTCATGATAATGCTATTGAGGGTGGTATTCCTAGTTCCATTGGTCAACTCTGCAACTTGAATATTATCGATTTATCAAGAAGCAAGATGACAGGAACTCTCAACTCTACCTGAATTTCTTCTAGGAATACAAAATTTTCCTTCCAGAAAACCTCTTCCTAATCTTGTGTATTTTATCAATGACTACTCAAGCTTTATAAGTACTAATAGTATGTTTGGTAACTCATTTCATTTGGACAATGTTTCTCGCGTTCCAAGGCACAGAAAACCTGAAAATATATAAGCTCCAATTTGGAGCTTTGGCCAAACGTATTGGACGCGGAAACAAACACACGCTAAGTAAATCATATTTCTAGTAGATGTGGCCATGCAAGACTCTAAGACACCTCCTAACACTCAGAAACCACTCTAGACTATTGGAAACATTGCAGAAGATTTCTACGCATAGAGCTAACGGAGAACCAAAACACAGCAGAAACATAGAATACAGTAACAGCAGGCAATTGTTAATCAACAGATTCCGTTTTCATCAATCAGTCACAGGATCAAACAAAAAGTGTTGAACGTATGAACATTCACACAAATGATAATAGAATTTCAATTTCGAAAAAGTAGAAGTTGCAATTCTACCTGAGGAAGCAGGACCGAAGAGAGGGAGAGTATGAAGTCTGGTGAATGGAGGAAGTAGGGGTTTGGATTTGACTTTGGAAATCCGGAGTTTTGGCGGAGAAGGAGGAGGAAATGCGGTAAAGCGGACTAATGAAGCTGAAGGAGAAGTAATAGAAGGTAAGGCGGAGCGGAGAAAGGACGTGTTCCAGCGGCTGGTGGTAGGTAGCAGGGAGATTGAGTGGCTAGCTGGAGATTGAGAGTCGCGAGGAGGATGAAGGAGAAATTTTGTTCTGGTTTTTTTTCTCTCTCAAGATGTGATATAAACCCTACATTTTATTTTTAATTATTGAAATATATATATATTTAGGGATAGTTTTGTAATTTAATATATAAGCGGGTGTGGTTTCGGGTTTCGGGTGCGGGTTTAAGCTATCCCAAACCCACACCCGAAATATCGGGTGGCACCCGAACCCGAACCCAAACCCAGTCAATTCGGGTTTCACCCGTTGACTCGGGTGCGGGTGCGGGTGGGGCCCGCGGGTTTGGGTCTGCTTGCCATCCCTAAATAAAAGTGAAGAATATGAACCTCTTGACAAGAATATGAACCTGAGACGTCACAGGAAAAATCGGATTCTTAGCCTCCATTTCAAAGTTAGTGGTTTTAATTCATTGCATAGCAGTTCAGTCTTGACTTCCATATGTCTTTGTACTTGAGTTAAACAAATTAAACATAAATCAATTTTTAAAATAACCATGGTCATACACGTTTGTAGTTATTTAAATTATATCATTACTATGATATTATCAATCAAAATTTCTCACAACTAATCATTGTATATCAAATATTGATTTAGAAGATGTTTATTTTTTAAGACCTATTTGGTGTCACTTTTGTACTTTTCAAGGAAGGACTTGGAGAGGCATATGATAGAGATATTGCATTTGCAAATGCTCTAGAAACTTTTGGTGGGGGTCACAATAACCCCATCAATGTAGATTTTAAAGGTATGCCTTTTTACTTAACATTATGTTTAAGATGGTTTATGAAAAGTTTTATGTTCTGCCACATGGGCGAACTTCTTATGTTCTTGCACATAGTTGATAATACTTATCAAGGGAAATGAAAACAATTTTAATTCTTATGAAGACAATTTTTTTGAGAAAATTTATTTGCAGTTTTTCTTTATAATATGAAATATATATACTTACTATATAACTTTATGATTTGATTATAATGATGTTCTCCTTTCTCTTAAAATTTCAACAAAAGTGAAACAATTTCTGTTTGAAACTCTAACTTCACTTCAGGCCCTGTTATGACCAAGTTCCCTATAGCCTTAAGAGAAATCAGGTTGAGGCTGTAAGAATGTTAATATGCCTATTATTTCAAGGTTCTCTGTAATAATGTTAATATATCCTTTCAAATATTCTCACGTGGTTTAACTTTTTTCGATTAAATTCTCATTATTCTATACTCTTGCTTTCAAATACGACTTCTGATCATTACTCTATAGGTGACTCCAAGACTAAGTGGAGACAAAGTAAAGCAATAAATTGATCATTACTCTTTATGCATGTTATATTAATCTCTGACAAGAGTTTTATGTAATTGTATGTGGTATGAAGTTGGTAACAATTTGTTTACCGTGAAAATTTGTAAACAACCGCTGATCTTCCAAAAGGGTTATTTTGGTTACTTCTGGATCGATCAGTTTGATCCTAGGACATATGTTAAGTATTTTTGGGTTTGAATAGGTTTAAATGAACAGGTTTTGACAAGATACTAAGAGTAAAAGTAGGATGAAGGTAAAAAAACTTGATAAAAACGCAAGTAAAGAATAAAGTAAATCTGCAGTAATTTAGAAGGGCTGTAATGGTAAAGTTTGCAGTGAAATGTTAAATGGCAAGAATTGTAAAGAAATGTAAAAGAATTTTATTGCAATGGTGATTCAAACGTACATTCTCAAATATTCTTTCTCTCACTGTGGGTACTTGAATAAAATTGAGTGACTTGTACAATGAGTTAAACCACAAATTCTATACAAATTTCTTATATTTGTACTGGTAATAAGTAACTGTCGAACGATTGCTTCGTCCCAAGATGAGGACAAGTGTCCTCTGCATGTTCTTCGACCTCTATCTTCACGCCATGTTGCTTTTCCTAACTGCCAAGTGAACTGCCTTTCCTTCCTTTCTTTAAATTCAAATCCACTTATTGTTGATACAATCGGTCGAAGACTGCCTTTAACTTTTAGAAAATTCTCTAAGTGTTTTCTCCTTCTTAACAAGGATGACTTCGACACAACTCCTTTCATAGGCTCTCATGTCAAAGTGTCTTCAGCTTAGATTTCTTTAATATATTTTTAGCCAATAAGGCCAATATGTGTGAGTGTCGAATTTAGGAGCTAAGAAATTGCCCCCCAAGAATGTCAATTTCAACACAAGGAGGAATATCCATTCTTTGATATTTCTATTTGACACTTGTCCACTTCTTGGTTACTGTTTACCTTGGTAATTGGTAAACAACCGCTGATCCTCCAAATGGTTACTTATTTGGTTACTCGCAGGATCGATCAGATTGATCCTAGGACATAGGTTGATTTTGAGGTTTTGGTTAAATTGGATATTGGTTAAATGGCAATAAAATAAAGAGGCTTTAAGTAAATTGCATGAAGAAGTAGGCTTGGTAAAATAAATGAAGGCTTAATAGTAAAGGATTTCGACAGGAAAGTAAAGAAGAAAGCAAGTAAATTTCTGGAAAAGTAAATGACTTTGATTATTAAAGTTGGTGTTTCACACATACATTTCTCAACAATTCTTTCTCACACGCTGGGTACTCGAATCTATATGAGTGACTTTGTATATAATTGTGAACACATGCGAGAATCTGCGTGAACTACTACTATTTATACTAAAACATCCCAAGTAACCGTCGGGCAGTTACACTGCTTCGAGATGATCCCACTTGGCACGTTCTCAACGTTCGACGCCCCAGATCTTTGCACGTTGCACTTGGTAACTGCTGGAAACCGTTTTCCCTCCAACTGCTTGAATTTCAAACCGCTCCATTCTGAACCATCGAACACCTCCGTCGAGAAGCATCTTCGACGAGAAACACCTTCGACGTCGAAGGCAACCAACTTCTCCCTTGGAAGAAATCTTCTAAGTACATTGCCATCTTTCGATGGGCATTTCGACGGACCTAGCTGGTCGAAAACATCCTTCAGCTTTAATGGCTGACATTAATGAAACAAGGGTGTCGAATTTAGGAGCCAACAAATTTCCCCCAAAGAATGCCTTATTTCGACTCTGAAAGAAAAAGGCATTCTTTGAAACGCCATTCGACACCTGTCTGTTCATTCTTAGTCACAAATTAAATTGTGCACTTTTTGTTGTCTTCTACCAGCCACTGACAATCCCAAGAAAAACCATCATTTATCCGTACCTAAGACGTCACCTCAGTACGGCGTGCAGTGTGCCAAATGTCATTTCAGAAATTGTCATTATGACAATTCCCAAAAACGAGGGCGCACGCTGCACCCTTCCATTTCTGCAGAACGGCTAAAACCACAGGGAGACGCCACGTGTCCCACTATCTTCTGCAACATTAAATGGCATTTAATGTCCTCGAATTTGGGGATTTCCCCCACTACTATAAATAGCAGTAAGTACCCATTTGTGGGACTTTTTACGCAACCTTGCTTTCAGAATTCCCCATTTGCATTCAAACTTGTCAACTTTGCAAACCTCTTTTCTTCACTTCGTCTTCAACCTCACCACTAACAATGGCATCTGGTTCTTCCAATGCTCCTAGCGCCAACGCACCATCTGGAAACGTCAAACCTAGGGTTTTCGCCACCGCTCCAGTAGTGACTCCCACGGGCCAACGAAGGGTCCCTGAACCTTTGGACATTGCTGTACGTGATGCTTACTCACGCCACCTTATGATTCCGGTTGGATATTCCAACCAGATCTTTGCTATGTCTGGCCCATTGTACCCAAGCATTGCTGAGGCCATGAAGATCAAAAGTTATTTTCCGGTAGTTGAGAGACTCAAACCGGTTGCATGCGCCAAGAAAGATGCAGAGGATAATGAAGACCCTGCTAAAGAGAAAATCGACCTCCGTTTCTTCAACAAAGGTGTTAGGGCTTTCAGGTCTGGCCCTAGCCTTACTCCTGATTACAGTGCTTGGCTGGAAAAAATGGAGAAACGCCAAGCTTCGATCTGGAAAGACATGGGGATTTTCGACCTGGTTATGCTGTCGAAGACAGGTCTTAACTATTCCCCAGAGATGTTGATAGCTTCTCTACTCTTCTGGGACTACACCCATTTCACCTTCCATCTTCCCTATGGAATGCTGACTCCCACACTCTTCGATGTGGCCGCCATCATTGGCCTTCGACCCACCGGGGACTACTTCGACCCGGAAGAAATGTCGGAGGATCAAATTGGATTCTCCGCCACCAAACCAACCTACACCACCTTCATCAATCACTACCACGATAGGTCGACAGATGCTGTGTCGGATGTCGAACATATTGCGTTTCTAGCCTTATGGCTGACACGCTTTGTGTTTTGTTCCAAGTCCTTACAGGTGACCAAGAAGATGGTCACTCTCGCCACTCAACTCCATCATGGCCAAAATATCTATTTGGCAGAATTGATTTTGGCTAGCCTGTATGAGTCGATTAGTAATGGAGCGACTCTTCTGAAGATTATCGAGAACAGGGCCAGTCTGCTGCTTGCTGGACCTTTTTGGCTGCTCCAACTGTGGCTCAATGCCACCTTCGAATCTTTCTTGCCTAAGAAGATTCAAATAAATGAGCAGGCTCCAGAGATAGCGAACAGACGTGTCGAAGGAACCAGACTGGCTCTGTTGACTCCAATGGAAGATGGACTGGAGCTTCAGCAAACTTTCACAAACTTCGTTCTGATGTTTGCTAGAAGGAAAGAATTTGCTTCGACTATGGCTCCGTTTGCTCGACGGAAGGTTGGCCCAGAGTGGCTCACAAGGCCACATCCTAGGACGTCGAGTGGTCCTCAGGTTGACGAACATACAACAATGTGGGAGGCGTTCCTCACACCAAGAATCATGCCTCTTCGATTCAAGAGCTCTAAGACTCACTTGAGTCTGATTGCATATCAACCAAACCTGGTATCTCGCCAGTTTGGTATTATTCAAACACTACCTTCTCCAATTTTCCCAAGGGAGAAGTCTATGTTATACTTCTGCAACGACTACACCGAAGAAGCTGCCACTAAACATATCGGAAGATATGCTGGTCGAACAGTTCTTTCGTTGTTTGACTACCAGCTTAACTTTCTTTGCTCACCATTCTTCGAGGAGTGGTGGAAAAGTTATTACGCTGAGGAGTTTTTCGACGAGAAGGACTTCGTGGATGAGCTTCAGAAATCTTTTGTCCTTGTCTTGGACAAAATAAAGAAATGTAAGTTCATCCTTTCAAATTACTTTGTCTTTCTCTTTCGACTGCTAGCCTGTTAACTATTTTATTTGCTTTCAGTTGTTCGAAAGCCTGCAGCCAAGAAGGCTGCAGAAGGCCAACAGGGAGGAGGCCCCTTAACAAAACCTCCACCGCCGGCGAAGACTATAGCGCCGGCGAAGACCACAACAAACCAACAGGGGGAAGGCCCTTCGAAAAAGGCTTCTGCACCGGTAACCAGACTTTCATTATCTTCTTCTGGCTTTAATTTTTTGACTTTTCGATGCAACTGCTAAATCGAATTCCCATTGGTTTTTTAGGCACCTTCGCCCAAGAAACGGCCAGCACTGATGGTCGAATCCGGGAGTGACGAAGAAGATGATTCTCCCCCTGCTCCTCTAAAAAGGCGAAAGCTGAAGAAGGACGTTCCTGCTCCTGAGGGTCGAACAATTAGAATAAAGGTTGCTGGGAGAAAGCCCAGGCCACCTCCAGTGATCATTGAGGAGCCAACGGAGGAGGAATTAAACGTTCTTCTCAATAAGCCTGTCGAAAGCGACAATTCCAGCCCTGGGGCTGAAGCTAATTTACAGGTAATCTCTTAGATCTCTTTGTAACTCAGGTGTAGATACCTACATTCGACTATGTCTCTTTCGAATTTTGAAGATTCTTCTTCTTCTCTTTTCAGGACACCACTGAAAGCTCACCGCCAAGGACTTCTGAAACATTGGAGTCTGCTGAACTCAGCAGGCCACAAGAAAAAGGCTTGGCGAATGACGAAGCCCATACTGAAATAAATGAGGCCAATGCTGAGACGGCAGAAAAACCAACAGAAGATCCACAAACAGAAGAGCAACAGCCACAAGAGATTCAGGTGGTGGATCTGTTGGAAGAGAACCGTGACGAAGGGAACCACAGCAACGCT